GATAGTTACTGCAAAATGGGTTTGAGTTTGGGTTTTTCGGTTGGAGATGGCCTTAGCGTGAAATTAACAAGAGCAACATGGATAATAGAGATCGTATTAACAAGAAGATATAGAAGTAAAAGTATTTTTTCGTTAAAATAAATTTTGAATTAATTTGGTATAAAAAATCAGTTTTATAGTATAAGAATTTAGATAGTTGTTGAAAAAAAAAAGGTCAAAACGAGCTTTTTAAAATTGGAACAAACACAAATAAAATAATAATAATAATAATAATAATAATAATAATAATAATAATAATAATAATAGAAAAAATTGGGGTACTTTTACAATTTAAAATAAAGAAAAAAAATACATATAACTGCACGCGGAAGTTACGAAGAAATAGATATAGATTAACTAAATTATTACTCTTGTTAATTAAGTTCACTCCAAATATGTTCAACTAGGTCGTGCCTAAGTTGATGATGGACTTGTCGATCTTGCATCTCGGCTCTTATTGTAAGTATTGACGAAAATTTCTTGGATGACCTTGCCGTACTTGGATTGGAGGCTCAGTATCATTTGACCATTTTGTTGCATCATCACTCTCATCCTCAATTATCATACATAATAATATATGATAACGTTATTTCATTAAGATATTCTTTATACAAAAAAGAGTCGAGCCACGTACAATCACGCATCTTGACTGGAACACCCCAAAAGCACGCTCAACATCTTTCCTTGCAGCCTCTTGCCATTACTTGAATTTTTTTCTTTTTGAATCATCTGGGCACGGAAGCTCTTGACACACGTTGCCCATTCGAATAGATATCATCTGTTAAATAATATCCTTTATTATATTGGGTTTCATTCACTATAAAATTTACCTCATGTGCTACATCGTGTATGATGGGTCTCTTCTCAGATCTGGAACGGTCCAGTGGGAAAGCGTCTGGATCTGGGATGAACTGATATGAATGAGCTTAGATCTGATGTGATGGCGTTCGAACCGTTGTTGAGCCGCAAGAACACCTGCAAGAACTCAACGCCGGAGGGGTTTCCGGCGTAGAGCCTCCGACGCTCAAGTCAGTATATGAGAGGGATGATGGGAGCTGCTATGAGAGCAGCAGCAGTAGTGAAAAGAGTATGGAATGAATGAGAGTTAGGGTTTTGGGATTACCTCAGTCCTTTATATAGGAATACAATATATACCTGAAGTCCCCAAAGTGCCCCGGCCAACTTAATGGAAATGTCCAGAATACCCCGGTCGGTTCGTATTCCGCCTACTTCCTAGTCAGCATCTAGATCCTTCCTTAGCTTCCTTCTTATCCTTAATTCTTCTTCAATATGCTGAGGTGTGTCAAAGCTATCGAGAACCACGAACTGCGAGACTCCTTCAGTCGACCTAAGATATTGCTTCGAGTCGACTGGGTCGCATTCAACTGTTAGTAGACCCTAATACGTCTGACCGTTGTCTTACCAGGGGTCGACTTATTCTAGTCGACAGGTGTACGTCGACTCGGTCGAGAGCCGGGCTTCTTGACTGAGTATCGTGGAACCTTACTAGTGGAGTCGACTTTGTCGAAGTCGACTTGATAGTCTGGAACCGTGATGATATGAACCGCTATGAACCAGTGTGGCTATATCATCTAGTCCCCCCCCAAAATTTACTCGAAGCGATTCTGAGCTTACGAGTAGATTTTGACGACGGGATGTTTTCCTCGAATCTTTTTATGTGTCCCGTCATCAGTTGCTACCTCGGGCTGCATCCACTCGTTGCCTCGACTTTTAATACGACTCGCTTACGCGAATTTTGATTTGATTAGATAAGTCTGAATCTATTTAAATTTCAAAATTCAAAAGATAACACTCTCTCTCCACCGCTTCGTATTCTGTGCCTCATCTTGGCCGTTGAAAATGACTTTAATCCGAGGGTTGGGGTTTCTTTGCCTTCTCTATAAGTAATCCCCATTTTTTCTCGTCCCTACTTTCCGCACTCATCTCCCTCAAATTCTCTGTTTTCCTTCGGCAATCACAGCTTTCCGGCGCTCCTATTCTCCGGCACCCTTTTCCAATTTCTCAAGACTTTCCGTCAAGCATCATGAGTATGAGTAAGTTTCCTTTGTCTGTTCGACTTGTTTTCATATGTTCAAGATAAGGGCACTTTTTTATTTTTCTGGGT